CCCAGACCTCCTAAGGAGACATTCAGCGTCAAAATCACCTGGGAAATGCTTCTGTCACTCAGGGCAGCACTTAGCTGCTTGTGTGTGATTGATTGGCAGCTGGACCAATAAGAGCTGGGTCAGCACTGCTGCTGCTGTGTGATTGACAGCTCTGCCAGGCCAGGGCTGGGGGCGGGGCTCTGTCCCACCACAAACCAAGGCCTGACCCGGCCCTGGCCCCACGCGGGCATTCCGAGCATCCCAAGGTGTCTGGGGACATCGATCTCATCCAGCCTCTGACAGCGACCATGGTGACACTATGGAACCTCATGGAATCAAGGAGATCATTGTGCAGCTCAGGGGCTCTATTGAAGCAAGAGTCAATGATCAAACTGTGGGGCCCATGGAAACAAGGAGCCATTGTGACACAGCAGGGCCGCATGGCACCAAGGGACCACTGTGACTCTGTTGGGGCTCATTAAACCAAGAAGCCATTGTGACATTGCCAGACCTCATGGAATCCATGAGAACATTGTGACATTGTGGGGGACCCATGAAATCAAGGGAACATGGAACAGGTCTGCCTGGTTTGGCCTCCTGGGGGCTGTCTGACAGGTCCCACTGAATTTGGCATGTCAAGGGCCACTTCCCATCAGACTGTGAAGCACTAGGGCTCCGTGCTTTCATTCCTATGGAAAAGAACTGTTTTTCTTGTCTAGGTGGCCATGGCCAAAATTGGAATTCTGCCTCTAAAATTCCCTATATGCAAGGTATACTCCCAGACAAAATCTGCCAATACAGTCAAGTCTGGCTAGCCTTGGCCTCTGGTGACTGCCTCCCATCTGCCACTGCACCACTGGGGCTCAGCTGTTTCCCTCCTATAGAAACCATTGTGACACCGCAGGGCGCTGTGGAGCCAAAGGGCATTGTTACACTGTAGGAACTTGTGGAACCAAAGGGATCATTGTGACATGTGGCCACGTGCGTCCAAAAGCCCTCCTTGAGGGCTGCCCCAGGCTAGCTCTTTGGCACATGAGCCACAGGGAGGGGGGGGGCACTCTCCTCACTTGCGCTGTCAGGAAAATTAAAAGATGTCTTCCCACCATGGGTCACAGGGCTCTTTCCAGTATGGGTCCTCCAATGGGGGAAGAAGCTGGAGCAGTTCATCAAGCTCTTCCTGCAGCTGGGGCACTGGCAGGACATCCCTTACCGGTGACTCCTGGCTGGTCAAGTCAGAGCTCTGGGTGAAGCTCTTCCCACATGTGGGGTACTCATAGGGCCTCTCCCCAGTGTGGATGCGCCGGTGCCTGATGAGGATGGAGTTCAGCTTGAAGCTCTTCCCACAGTCAGGGCAGCGGAAGGGCCTCTCATCTCTGTGAATCCGCTCATGGCGGAGGAGATTGGAGCTGGTCTGAAACCTCTTCCCACAAGTGGGGCACTCGTAGGGCCTCTCCCCGGAGTGAATGAGCCGGTGCCTGACACGGCTGGAGTTGCACTTGAAGCCCTTCCCGCAATCAGGGCAGCAGAAGGGCCTCTCCTCTGTGTGAATCCGCTGATGGCGGAAGAGATGGGAGCTGGTCTGAAACCTCTTCCCACACTGGGCACACTCATAGGGCCTCTCCCCAGTGTGGATGCGCCGGTGGGTGACGAGGTGGGAGTTGCGGTTGAAGCCCTTCCCACAGTCGGGGCAGCAGAAGGGCCACTCCCCAGTGTGAATCCGCTGGTGGCAGAGGAGATAGGAGCTCTTCATGAACCTCTTCCCGCACTCCAAGCACTTGTGGGGCTTATCCCCATCATGTAGTTGCTCATGGACCATCAGCTCTGAGCTCTGGCTGAAGCTCTGTCCACCTTCCTGGCTCAGGGTGGGTCTTTCCTTTTCAGAGTACCCTGGGCTGGGTTTGCAGCCCCTTGTCCTGTGGCATCTCTGTGTCTTTTCTTCCCCATTGGATTCCTGTGCTGTGGAGTCACTCAAAATGGCCTCTGCTACGAAGTTGTGCCATGGGGCTTTGTCCTCCGTGGTCTCCATCCTTAGCTCCTTCTCTGGGGGAAGAAGGACAGAAAGAGGATGGGATTTACCTCCATGGCACAGGGAAGGGGGAGGAGATCCCTGCACTTCATCCATGGCAGGACAGCATTGCCAGTGGTGTTGTCCTGCAGCCAGGGGCCATGCTGGGCTGGGAGATGGAGCAAAGGAAAGGGGGAAAGGGGCAGTGACTTCCTCCTCACCTGCCTGGGTGTCCCAGGGCATCTTCGTCTTCCCCACAGCCTCCTCCTCCATCTGGGAAAGAGTTTGGGATGGGAAATTCTGTTTTGGGAGGAAAACAAGAGATGAGCACATTGAGTTTTATACTGGTTTCAAGGCAAACCAGGGGGAGAGTCTAAGCCAGAATTACAATTAATTAAGAAAACTAAGATCAAGGCAATGATACAGAAACACTGCCTTAAACTGACAGAGTCAGGATATAACCTGGCACCCTGTTGCTCAGGGTGCTGGCAGCAGTCCCATTAAATGGTGGCTGCAGTCCTGTTGCAGTGATGAATGTGATTCTGTCAAAGCAGTGATCCTGTAGGAGGGTCTGGTCTTCCTCTGAAGGTCCAGTGGTGTTTATGGAGCTCTTGTCCTCTGGGAATCCAGTAGGCAAGGTGCTCCTGGTGCTGCAAGCCTCAGCTTATATCCAGGCAGGAATGCTTGGCTCCTCCCCCTGGGCGGAGCATCCCACAATGGGATGATGGAATTTTATCAGTCCTGCAGGGACACTCAATGGCCCATGAACAGAAGAGAGCCCCTGCAGGGCGTTATCAGGGCTGAGTCATGGCAGAGATAAAGAACACTGCCCCGCCTGTTTAGAACAGCTCATGGAGATGGGGATGGAAAACATGCTTTTGGTTACATCTTACACTGTAACCTGAAACAGTGGGGTAATCCCTGCTGGGGCGGTGAACACCACCCCCCTTACCCAAACTGGCTCAGGTGTAAAAACCCCACAGTGTCACGATGCTTTGCTTATTCCATGGGCCCTCATAGTGTCACAATGGTCTCCATGATCCCATGAGTCCCCTCAGGGTCACAATGGTCTCCTTGTTTCCATGGTGCCCCACAGTGTCACCATGGTCCCTTGGTCTCACAGGGCCTCACAGTGTCACCATGGTCCCTTGGTCTCACAGGGCCTCACAGTGTCACCATGGTCCCTTGGTCTCACAGGGCCTCACAGTGTCACCATGGTCCCTTGGTCTCACAGGGCCCCACAGTGTCACAATGGTCCCTTGGTGTCACAGGGCCCCACAGTGTCACCATGGTGCCTTGGTCTCACAGGGCCCTACAGTGTCACCATGGTGCCTTGGTCTCACAGGGCCCTACAGTGTCACCATGGTGCCTTGGTCTCACAGGGCCCTACAGTGTCACCATGGTGCCTTGGTCTCACAGGGCCCCACAGTGTCACCATGGTCCCTTGGTTCCATGGGCCTTGTGCTGCTGCATTCCCCCCTCCCCTTCTCAGGCCGCCCTGCCAGCTGAGAAATGCTCCTTGGGCCTCGGCCTTGGCCAAGAGCCCCTGGGCTCAGCTCCTCTGCAGCTCAGCACAAACACTGTCTGCTCCAGGCACTGCTGTGCCCAACCAGCTCCTGCTTTCTGTAGGAGCAGCCCTGGGAACTGGTTTTGTTCCCTCAGTGGCACAACATCCCTGTTCTCACACTGCCAAAGAAAGCTGTTGATGCCAAGTGCGGCCAGGATGAACCATTGCTGGGACTGCAGCCCCTCTCGTGGGGCCCTACAAACAGCGCTCCAAAAGGAGCCCCTTGGAGCTCTCCTGGGCCAGCGACTCCCTCTGAGCGGGGCCTCTCCCAGCCGGGAACTCTCCCGTTTGCTGCACTCGGGGATCCTGAACAACGACGGAGCCTGGGCCGATCCCCCCACTCCTCCAGGCTCAGCCCTTCACCCGCTGGGGAGATGCCAAAGGATCCACAGGGAGCATTTCCTGCCCTCAGGGGAATTTCTCACAGGTGCCTTGCACTGACTCTTTGTGTCTGTGTGCACACAGGAGTGCCTGTGCTGGGGAAATGTGGCAGAAATGCTGCTCTCTGAGGGATTGGAGTGCCTTGGATGGCTGAGTCATTCGGGCCTGTAGGTAAGGTTAAATCACAAGGTCTAAGTGAAATTAAATGCTGCTAAGAGTTGTTCTTTTGTTAGGTTGTTATGTTTAATATAAGTTATAAGCTAAGTTAAACATTGTTAAGTGTTATTTCTCCTTTACATTGCAAAGTGATAGGTTATAAGTTAGGTGAAATATTGGTAAGTGCTGTTCTTTTGCTAACTTGTGAAGTTGAAGGTATCAGTTAAGGTTAAGGTATAAGTTAAGTCCTGTTAAGTTTGAACTCTATTAAGCTTTTGGGCCGTATTCCTTTTATCCTTGCCCTCACTGTCCTTCTGGCACACACACACACAGGGACAGTACTCAGTTCATTTCTGGTTTGATTGTCCAGATTTTTTTTAGTTTTGTTGTTGCTTTGTTTCTGTGGTGCGCCTGAAGTGTCCAGTCAAGAGTGACTCTTGCCAAGGAACTTTGCCATGTGTTGTAGTGTGCTTTTATACTTTGTAATACTTTGTAATAGTTTTGATTTTGTATCCCCTTATTCTCCCCAGACGATGTACCCCTTTTTGTACCCCCTTCCTCTACCTGTGTAACCATTCTCCTGTGTTGAGATCATCCCCCAAATCCCCGCCCTGGCTCTCTGTCAGTCACCCAGCATCCCATCCCCTCTATCTGGAACTTTCGGTCAAAGCCGTCAAGTGATTAGACCGAAGCCAGGGGTCAGCCCCCCAAGGATGATGTTATACGCTATCCCAAATGTCCATCCCTAAGGCTGCATCCCTGGAGGGTCTTTATTGGCCAGCAAATGTATCTACCCTCGGTTTCCTCCCCCC